TTTATCACCCTTTTGGCACAACAATATTTTTCAACAAATGAGTTTTGAAAAAATTTAAAAAAATATTAATCATTCAATATGCTGCAGATAATCCTGAACTGAAGGAAGGATATTTCTTACAGCTATTGAAATTGAAAAACTTATGAAATAGTTGGCCAGTCTGAAGTTCACTTAGTTCGGACTTCTATTGTCTACAATGATTCTGATGTGATTCGAAATCAGGTTTCCATATGTTGCGTACCTTTACGCTTCCTTGGCTGAATGCGTCATTGAACAACATACATGCTCTGCTATTCCTAATTTGCTTGTTTCCCCTCGCTGTATATGTTCCTTGTGCTCAGCAATGCGAACATTCAATGACCTCTTCGTGAGGCTGCTACGGATAGTGTTACCGGATCTGAAGCAGATTCTGATGTACTTGTACCCAATTTTTTTTAATCCAGTGCAAGCACTGGTTGTAACGGCTTCTCTTCCTTGCGAGGCTCTTGTCTTGTCTTTTAGCCAAAGTATGTTCCACCATCATTTTGGAGCGACCATTTCGTTGAAGATTTTTTCTTATGATACCTAGTTCTCCCTCTCGAGACCTCTTGAGGTTTTACGCTGTTGATGTGCTCCAAGGAAGTGTCTCGTTCTGTATTTCCATGGTTCCATACTTTGAAGGTGTCGTCAACGTATCTCAAACAGACTCAAGGTTTCTTGTGGGCTTCTTCAGGGGCCAGATTTTCAAATCACACCAAATATTAATGGCAGTCCCATTGGCAGTCCCTCTTCTTGCGTAAAGAATTTGTTCTTCAGTTGGATATAACAGTTCGGTACACATCATTTTGGAATATATACAATATAATTAATATTTTAGCTATTCATTCCATTTTTTCTTTGGTCGTTTATAAATTTCGAATCATATTACGATAGGTGCCTTTTGTGCTTCGGGATTTGGCAACCGTAGTGTTGAATCTGGCAAGTGACAGCTCTATCGTAAAATTGAACATTTTTGAGCTTATACGTACTCAGAAAGTTTTGACATACGCGTGCTATTTGTGTTGTTGACAGTAACTCGAAAGATTAATTTCGGTCCAAAAATAGAATTAAATCGTGAACATTTTCGTGCGATTATTTGTATGGGTGAACTTAATTCAATTTTTGGCGATGAAGCTCCATCAAGGACCAGTGTTTATCGATGGTATGGTAGATTCAATCGTGGTCATAGTTGCCTCCAAGAAGAATTTCGTGAAGGTCGTCCAAAATCAGTTGTTGTTCCGAAAACCATTGATGGTGTGCGCGAACTGATATTGCAAGATCGTCATGTGACCTATCGTGGGATTGAGACAACCTTAGGCATTAGTGGGACTAGCATACATTCAATATTGCATAAACATTTGACTGTCAAAAAAATTTGTTCGCGTTGGATCCCACACAATTTGTCAATCGCTCAAAAAAAGGCTCGTGTCGATTGGTTGAAGGAAATGCTCAAAAAATACGATCGCCATGCTTTGAAACAAGTTTATGACATCGTGAAAGGTGATGAATCGTGGATTTACGCGTATGAGCCCGAAAGTAAACAGTAGTCGACTGTATGGGTGTTTCAAGACGAGCCAAATCCAACAAAAGTTATTCCCGCACGAAGCACTTCCAACCAAATAATCGTCTGTTTTTTCAGAAAAACTGGACATGTCGCAACCTCATCACTAGAACAACAAAGAATAGTCCATTCTGAGTGGTACACAATCACTTGTTTGCCAGTTGTCTTTCAAGAAATCAGGAAAACCAATCGCCGAAGAAGGATCATTCTTCACCACGAAAATGCGAGCTCTCACACATCGGCTCAAACAACTGCATTTTTGAGCACCCAAAACATCGATTTGATGAGTCATCCGCCGTATAGTCCTGACTTGCCACCGAATGATTTCTTTTTATTCCCGCACGTAAAAAACAAACTGAGGGGGTGTAGTAATGAATAGTACCGGAGTTTCTTCCCAACACCAAGCCATTATTTCAACACCTCGACACGTGTTTCGATCACCAAGTGATCATCTTCAAGAGAAATATATAAAATTCAACGGGAAGATTTAAACAGTTCGAATCTTCCTTTTGAAGATGATCACTTGGTGATCGGAACACATATCGAGGTGTTAAAATAACGTTTTGGCGTTGGAAAAAACCCCAGCAATATTCACTTCAAAACAAACTGTCAATCTATGCTACTTGAAAATGAAACTTGAAAGTATATAAAAACTATATATTCCATTGAAAATTATCACAGAAAATCTTTCTAATCAGCAACTTCTCCAGACTTGTGTCCGTTGCCGTCAATCAATTCAAACTTCGTCTTGGCCGAGTGTTTACTACTTTCTGAATCAGCTTCATCGCGTTCCATATATTCAACCCCTGAGTAACCTAGAACCCCAACGATCAGCAATCCCATCAGGAGGTAGATTTTGAGGTAGTTGCACAAATAAGGGCTGCACACATAAGTGATGACAGACCCGGTAGATTCCCAAAGTCGGAAGTTGCTGTAAGCTGCTTCTTCTTTGCCCGGGAAAAGGATGCCGCTCAAAGCTGAAAAAGGTCTCATAATATAGATACTGTATAGTGCTTATTGTTTTATGATAATAATAATAATAATGGTCTTTATTATTTCCAAAAGAAAAGTACATATTTCTCATAATTTTTACCTAGAAATAAAATATTGGAAATAATAGGCGAAGTTCAATTCATTCAGCAAGAATATCATTGATGACTTGTTCTACCAAAGAATGCTCGCGGTGTACATTGTAAACAGTAAAGGGCCCAGTGTGGATCCCTGGGGAACTTCAGATTTCAAATCAAGGTATTGAGAGCAGTTGCTATTGATGTTGACTTTCTGTTGCCTTTCACTGAGATATTCACGCAATAGTGATATCGCTCCATCTGAAAGCCCTAAGTGATGCAGAATAACTAGTAATAAGTCGTGGTTTATGGTATCAAAAGCCCTACTTCACTTCATTTTGTATCATTTTTTTTTAAATCATAGTTTTCTGGATTTAGTGAAGACGTTTGTGGTTTTGTTAGTGAACCTAATCATCTGAAGGAACAATTTGTTCCGGCTAGTCTTCCTTTACCTACACAGTAGGTTCATGGACTGATACCTATCAGAAAACAACTACTTCCCTGGCTAATAACACGAAGGCCGTTGGATTATATCCGACAGGTGTCAGTGCAGGATTCTTCACTGAAGTTATTCCTGCATATGCTGTTGGCGATCCAACTGCCGAAATCGACTCTCAATTATTAAAACGGGCACACTTGTAAACCTGTTTCGGGATATTTGGCCTCTAGTTAGTGCTAGGTAGTGTCGTACAACAACATGAAACCGATTATTTTCGATAATCAAAAATAAAATTCTCTCAGAGTATCATACCTCTAACAAAGCTGAAGCGAACGATGAGCAACAAATCTGCCATCGCCCCTCTACCTGTAGAAGAGGAACTAACCAACCGCATATCCAAATGGCCCAAATCTTCGTATAAGGAAATGAATTTATAGCCAATTTTCATTTGCAGACCAACCGGTCTGCAAATGTGCCCGTTTCAATAATTGAGGATAGATTCATGCAATTGTATGGCCAAAAGCATATGCAGGAATTACTTCTGTGAAAATCCTGCACTGAGACCTGTCGGATATAAACAAACACCCTTCTTGGTGTTAGCCAGGGGAGTAATTGTTTTCTGGTAGGTGTCAGTCCTTGAATCTACTGTGTAGGTGAAAGAAGACTGGCCTGAATGCATTGTTCCTTTAGATGATTTGATTTATAGTATGCCCGCGTAGATGATATTTGGTTAGTGATTATCTTGACATAAATATAGTCTTTCCAAGATGGCAATATAGGTCTTAAATTCTCTTCCTCAAAAGTTGAACTTCCAAATGCATGTATTTTGATGTTTCATTGAATTTTAAGTCAGTATTACTTCTTCGTTTAGACATGAGAACCCGAAAGGTCATAGTTGGGTTGGGTTATCCAATGAATCAATTCCCCTCTTCAAATCGTATGTTTAAAACCGAAAGCAGTACGTCCAAATCGAAGGCCTCAAGTCTATCGAATATATAGCCACATCTGGTGTACCACAAGGATCAAATCTAGGACCCCTACTGTTCAATATGTTCATCAATGATATCGGAACTGAGATTGATGTCGATTTCCTTTTATACGCAAATGACTTGAAACTCTATCACAATATAACTTGTTCTAATAATTGCGAACGTCTCACCCTGAATTTAAATCGCGTTGCTATCTGTCAACATATCCAAATGTAATGTAATGTCTCACTCACTGAAAACGAACTTGAATTTACACCAACTAGGTACGTCATAAACAATTAAGTTCTGGTGCGTCCTGACACACTCACTGATCTAGGTGTTTATTTTGATTCATCCCTGGACAAATGTTAGTACAGTCATAAGGAATATTTAGAGGATTCTTTCACAGAAGGAAAATAAGATATAAAATCGTTCTAAATTTTAACTTGCTGTTTTGCTTTAGTTTCAGTGTTCTGACTGGCGATTTTATCGTTTTTTTTAAATATGTATGTACATGTTTGTAAATATATGTATATATGTAAATATATACATATGTATATTTATTTGACTACGGCAAGCAAAATTGCCACATTTTTCATTCATTTTTTAATTAGATTATATTATGTAAGTACATATTTGTAAATGCCACTGTTACTCCCTATTCTGTAATTGGGTTCATCCTGTAGAATAGTGTATGAAATAAATAAATAGTTAGACGTGGATTGATAGTTGCTTATAAAGTTTCCGTTGAAAGCATTCGAATTTTCGCAACATGACTGCAAAAAAATTCCATCTGTAACAACTACTATCCCATACGAATATCGAGCTGAATTTTATATTTCTGAATATTTTCAGATGAGTTATAATATACTCACAATTGATTTGTACCAACCAAAGAGCGTCACACATCCCCCAAAGTCCGCTTATCAGGAAAAAAATCGGTTTGTTTTCCGGGCTGGGTCTCCATACAAGCAACGTTACGAGCAAAGCGAAGTGTATGGACAAGGCAAAGCAAATGACAGGATTTCTTCCTGTTATTTTGACTATGCTGCCGGAAAAAATGGAAGCGATGCCATTGCATATACCGTAGCAAATCATGACGAAACCGATGTTGCTGATTCCCCATCCACACGAGACAAAGTCCTAGAAAAAGTAAAGAATGAGTTGTCAGTATTATATCACCAACAAATTCGACGGAAACGTATAAACTCTATACAGAGATGAGTAGATCATGAAAAAAAGTAACTTCAATATTATTCGTGTTAGTCCCTGTTACTAAAATATACGTAGAACACTGTTCCACATTTTAAATCAAGAATCAATCAGCGTTCAACGGATTAGAGCTCATGCCAAATATCTTAAAGAAAAGACAGCAGCCGCTAGACAGTACTATGTAACTTTACGCAACTACGTCAATGATGCAATAAAACGTGAAAAAAACAGCATATATACAATTTGTTTTGAAGAAAAATGAAAACAATTCAAAGATGACATTGAGAAATCTTGCAGATTGGGGTGTTACTACAAAATCATCCTCGCAAACCAATAGCCTGCCAATTGAACAACGTAGACCTGAAGAAATCAATGACTATTTCTTAAACGTGGCTGGACATTCAATAGTAAATGATGACACTCTTTCATTCTACATTAATAATAAATTGAACGCTCCTATGAACTTTTCCCTCANAAATAAAATCTAATGCTTCAGATATTGACAATATAAATATGAAGATGATTTCTTTAGTGATACCACACTGTATTGATGAAGTTAAACATATTTTCAACGAGTCCTTCAGACAGGGTATCTTTCCAGATGTTTGGAAGGTTGCTAATACAATTCCAATTCCGAAATGGAATGCACCTACCACGTTCAGTGACCTACGCCCTATCAGCATTCTGCCCTCATTCTCTAAAATATTCGAGTCTGGGTTTCGCAAAAAACATGGAACATAGATTGCCCTCTTTAAAGCAATCGACGATCTTGCGAGATTCAGAGATCAATCAAAAGTCACCATTTCAGTACTGCTTGATCAAAGTAAAGTTTTCGATTTAGTTAATTTCGATTTACCCATCAGCAAGCTCAAGTTTATAGGATGGCCAGCTATCTCACAGGCCGATCACAGAGGGTCAAACTGGGTGATTACTCATGGTCATCTCTAAAAGAAACAGTCTCAGGTGTGCTGCAGGGAAGTATTTCATGACCCTTGATGTTTTCAGTGTTTATTTTTGATTACTTCACTTTCATATCACATTGTCAGGTACATCTATACGCCGATGATATACAGCTATATTTGTCTTCTCATAACACCGATACAGAAAGTTGCGTGGCCAATATAAACACAGATTTGCACAAACATTCCTTTACTCGGAGAATCATGGGCTGAAAGTCAATCAAAATAAAACTTTGGCCATATGCATAGGGTCTAAAAGACAAATAGTAGAAACTCAGTACAACTTTAGGCTCACTCTCGATAACGCAGACATTGACTGGGTAGACAGTGCTAAAAATCTTGGCGTAACGACAGATAGCTCTTTGTTTTTCCACGAACATATGACAAACATTTTCAAAGTATCATTCTTCAAAGTCAAATCCCTATATAAATTCAAGTATCAGTTATCAGAAGAAATGAAACTCAGGTTAGTTAAAACTCTTATTTACCCCCATATCGAGTATTGTTGTTCGGTGTATTACAATTTTTTGCCGCAATATAACAAACAGAAGTTACAACGTCTACAAAATGCCTGCATGCGATTCGTATACTGTATACCAGTGGTCGCCAACCTGTCGATCGCGAGCTACCGGTAGCTCGCGGAAGCAATTCTGGTAGCTCTCACAACGATTTTAATTTAAAAAATACAAACTGCAAAAATCAGAGAAGCTTCCGAAAATTCCACAAAAAAATCTAATTGTCATAATATTAAACATAAACAGCGGCAACGTTACGGTGAGCGATTTGCCGCTGACGTCATCAAGCTAGAATCGGCTAGAGCCGACTAGCCGGACCAGCGCGTTAGTGTTCGAGAACGATCTGGATTGCTTTGAACGGGATAAATACGCACGTCGCGGCGACATTGCGCTTAGTTTGAAACTGAACGCGTAACCAACGTCCAGCGGTTGGGTTAGTATAGAACAACAAAAATAATATTATGGCAAGCAGTTGTAAGAAGGTAAAGACATACCACTTTCATTCGGAATGGGAAGAACAATACTTTTTTACAGAAGTTAAAGATAAAAATGTGTGTTTGTTATGTAATACTTCGGTCTCCGTTGCTAAAAAAGGAAATATTGAGAGACATCATAAAACTGTACATTCTAATTTTGAAAAATCATTCCCACTACATTCTGCCGCCAGAAAGGAGGAACTGAAACAGTTAAAAAAGCAGTTGATTGGACAACAATCAATATTTTTAAGAACAGTCGACAAAAATAAGGCTGCAACTGAAGCATCGTACCGTGTGTCCCAGATAATTGCACAAAAAAAGAAACCTTATGAAGACGGGGAAATGATAAAACGGACGTTTTTAGAAGCTGCTGATTCGTTATTTGCCAACTTTAGAAATAAAGACGAGATAGTTTCAGCTATAAAATCTATGCAACTTTCTGCTAATACAGTGATGAGACGTGTAGAAGTAATGAGCAATGATATTTTTTTACAGTTAAGAACTGACTTAGATAACTGTTTATTTTTCACTTCAACTGGATGAATCAACAGATGTCGTTGACACTGCCCAGATGGCCGTGTTCGTCAGGATGGTTTTTAGTGATTTTACGATTAAAGAATATCCAACAGTTTGCAACTTGTGTTATGCAGAACTTTGGCGAAGACATCGCTGCAACAGAAATGGAAGTCATTGTACTGAATGTATCTGGCCTATTGTAAGTAAAGACAAATATTCAGTTCTATGTCGTGTTGCCTTGAAAGTGAAAGCATTATTCAGTTCAATCTATTTGTGTGAATCTTCTTTTTCCAATATGAAGTTTATCAAGAACAAATATCGCAATCGACTTACAGATGAACATTTGGATAATTGTATTCAAATGGCTGCATCAAATTATACTGCAGACATTAAAAAATTATCGATGAGTCTAAGTCTCAGTCTCCTCATTGAACGTGCTTTTTTATTTTTCACTGTTTATGTTCATGATAGTGCGTTACTATTAACGCAATTGTTATTATTAACTATTTTTAAATCATACGTGACATGCCGTTGTGGGTGGATAAAAGTTTGTGTTTATTTTTCAAACACCTTCGTTTGATAGGTTATACCAAAGCGATTGGTCTACTAATACTTCTAGGTATTTTATTGAGTCCGTATTATGTAAAAGAGTACAGCTACAATTTGGAATATTTGCACAAGATGTTTTGTAGATTTTGATACTGTTTTCAACCGGTTGGTCTCTAGTTGTTGGAGTAAATGCAATACATTTGTTTTTCTTGACATTTACACTCAATAAATTAGAACTCAATCAGTTGAAAATCATTTCAATGTCTATTCCAGCGTTAGTGCATACTTATCCTCGCGTTTTTCCAAGAAAAGTGATAGCTGTGTCATCAGCGAATGAGGTTATTCCACCATTGAAATTAGACATTTTGAAAATGTTCATATACATTAGATGTAAGACGGGTCCCAATACAGTTCCTTGGGGTACGCCCCAGGTGACTCGCTGAGAGAGTCGTAAACCTGGACAATTCGTGTTATATTCGTCAGATAGTTATTGATAAGCACGCTGAGTACATCCATCCCCGCACGGGAAATTGAGTGTCTGGCAAATACTCACAGCTGTGAAATCGGCCGCTATGAAAGCTTGCTCAGCTCCTATAAACATCGTTATTGGAAGAATCAGTATTTGTTTAACGTTCCCCAACTGCTTCAATGTGACGGCTAGTAGTTTCAGGCCGGAAATTCCGCCTCCGCTGCCCTTTCTGCCCTTACCGTATCTGGAATATATAGTGGAAGGTTTTACAGTATGAGCAAGGCATTGTTGAAGTGAAGTAAATTTAAACAATATTGATTGTTGCCTATCTAAATTTATATTTGCAATGTGTCCTTATGTAGTAAACCCAACAATATTACTACTATATAGCTTGTTAAAATAATATTGTTGGGTTTACTGATTACTACATAAGGACACATTGCAAAAATGAATTCAGATAGGCAATATTGTGAAATTAATTTTTATATAGCTGAAAATTGTTTTATATAGAGCTAAAACAGTAAACATTTATTGTAAAATAATAGATAAGGCAGAATTGTAAAATTAATTAAGGTTGGTATACCTGTATGGGATATCTATCTAGCATAAATAGCGTTAGCTTCGCGTTAGTTTCCAGTTTAATCTTCCTCTTTGAAGATGATCACTTGGTGATCGAAACACGTGTCGAGGAGTTGAAAAAAACGATTTCGTGTTGGAAAAAAACTCCAGTAATATTCTTGTGAGTCTACTTCAAACTGTATTATATACAGGGTATTTCAAAATCCATCCTCACCATAGGAATCTCGGAAACTATGAGAGATACGAAGATGGTTAAATTGGGGCAAAGTTGCGCATTTACCCTACTAATAATATGCCGTATGAAGTTCCCAGTATTTCCGGAAATATCCGAAAAAAACCAGAAATTTAGGAAAATGGTTTTTATTTTTGTATGGCTTTATTTTTTGAAGGAATCGAAAATGAATTGCACTTCCACATTGCTACTTTTTCTCTGCTACATAATGGCGTTTTCAGATTTGCTATCCGACGTTTTGTCTTCCAGCCACCATCATTAAATTTATTTCTTATTGGAAAAAAACTCCAGTAATATTCTTGTGAGTCTACTTAAACTGTATTATATACAGGGTGTTTCAAATTCTATCCTCACCATTGGAATCTCGGAAACTATGAGAGATACGAAGATGGTTAAATTGGGGCAAAGTTGCGCATTTACCCTACTATTAATATGCTGTATGAAGTTCCCAGTATATTCGAAAATATCCGAAAAAAAAAACAGAAATTTAGGAAAATGGTTTTTATTTTTGTATGGCTTTATTTTTTGAAGGATTCGAAAATGAATTGCACTTCCACATTGCCACGTTTTCTCTGCTACATAGTGGCGTTTTCAGCTATCCGACGTTTCGTCTTCCAGCCACTATCATCAAATTTATTTCCTGGATTTCTGTGGGTCGACTACTTCAAAACTCATCAAAGATGAAATCCTCGGAAATAAATTCTGCTTACCCACCGTTGCTAAATGCCTGAGTAATTTTTTTGTCTGTTTCGGCAGCGTTTTGGTTCAATTTGAATTGTTAGAAAAAAATTCGCTGAAATCTTTATATCACAATTTTTTCCTGGTAATACAGAAGAAAACTCCGCAAACATGACGGACAGACAGACAGACGTGCCACAGAATTGACTGAACAAAGCAACCGAGGATCAACAAAACAGTTGAGATTCGCTCTGATGAATGTACTACTCGATGAGACACTATTTGGTCTGCGTTTGATCCTACCTGGACATTTTATCAACTCCAATACTGACGATAAGACAGGCTACCATCATGCAGAGTAGGTACACCCCAGCAATCAGCTGAATCTTTGAGGTTGGATGAGGTTTCAAAATAGGAACCGTTGAGTTATCTGCTGCTGCTACTGACACACCTGGACAAGCATTTGCTCCACATAGATCTCTAGAAATTTGGTCCAGTGTTTCTTTCTTGGTTTCCTTCAGAAACAGGGTTGTTGCGTTGACGATGGTTGTGTTTGAGCTGGGTACTGCATCATCTCCTGAAGATAATACTGCAAAATAATAATAATAATGAATGTCTTCATTACAACAACCACACAAAAAAAAAACAATATTAGGTTCTAACTACATATATGAAGTTATGGTGAAAGGCGAAGTTCAATTTTCGCAGCTATGCAAATAACTGCTAAATTGTTCTTCCACTCAACCTAAAAAAGTCTCTGCATGGGTATTGAAGTAGCATATCATCAACATAAGTATATGAATACATGAATAAAGATCAGTGTAAAATACTTGATCAAATTGAAAACGAATTCAAACAATTTCGCCTTTGATGACTTTTCTTGACAGTTATTATCTTTTCATCTGTCTAATTCTCAAACAACCTATGATATTCATCAAACAACTTATACATAGTGATGAACAATTAACTGATATAAGAAAATACAAATGAAATAAGTAACATTCTCCATCCCCAAGCAGACTTTGCAAGGTGAGTACATCAACTCCTGACTGGAAGAATATACACTTTGGTGACAGATCTCATATATGTTCCATGTTTATTCCTAATTCGAACAACTTTGATGACTCCCTCTTTACCGGGAAACGTTTTTTCTATTTTTCCTATGATCCACTGATTCCTAGGTGCTTTCTCGTCCACAATCAAAACTATGTCGCCAATTCTAATAAGATTAGTTTTGTCATGCCATTTTTGTCTCTGAAGAAGTGTTGGTCTATATTCAATTACCCATCGTTACCAGTACGTATCTGCCAATGCTTATGCAATTCTCCATTGCTTTCTGCTAGATAGCTCCTCCACATTGCCGAATGATCTGACATCACCTGGTCGGAGTAGCAGAAAATGGTTCGGAGTGATAGCTTCTGGCTCATTTGAATCGACTGATATGTGTGTCAAGGGCCTTGAATTATTTCACTCATCAAGGTTACCAAAACCTCTTCTTTTGGATTGATGGACTTCAAACTGATTTTCAGAGCTGTTTTAATAAATCTTATCATCCTTTCCCAGATTATTCTATTTTTCCTATGATCCACTGATTCCTAGGTGCTTTCTCGTCCACAATCAAAACTATGTCGCCAATTCTAATAAGATTAGTTTTGTCATGCCATTTTTGTCTCTGAAGAAGTGTTGGTCTCTATTCAATTACCCATCGTTACCAGTACGTATCTGTCAATGCTTATGCAATTCTCCATTGCTTTCTGCTAGATAGCTCCACATTGCCGAATGATCTGACATCACCTGGTCGCAGTAGCAGAAAATGGTTCGGAGTGATAGCTTCTGGCTCATTTGGATCGACTGATATGTGTGTCAAGGGCCTTGAATTAATAATATATTCAATTTCATTCATCAAGGTTACCAAAACCTCTTCTTTTGGATTGATGGACTTCAAACTGATTTTCAGAGCTGTTTTAATAAATCTTATCATCCTTTCCCAGATTCCACCCATGTGTGCAGCTCCTGGAGGGTTGAATTTCCAAATTATATTTTTAGATGCGACTTCTTTCAAAATCGTTTTCTGATCTAAGCTTTGGAACCATTCCTTGAGGTCACGTTCTGCTCCGACAAAATTGGTCCCGTTATCTGTTATTATCTCCTTTGGCTGACCTCTTCTACACATTAAACGTCGGATAGCAAGTATAGCAGAACTAGTGTCCAAAAATACCGCGAGTTCAATATAGATTGCACGGAGGGTGAGAGGAGTAAAGAGTACGCCGTATCGTTTTTCTATTCTTCTGCCTATTGCAACAGTCATGGGACCAAAAAAGTCAATTCCAACGTATAAAAACGGGAAAGAAAATGATCCTAACCGCTAGGGAGGCAACAAACCCATTTCTGGAAAGAAAGGTTTGCAATTCCGATTTTTACATTCTTGGCAATTTCTGAGGCTCTTCTTTACAGCTACTCGTATATTTATAATCCAATATTTGGAACGAAGATTGTTGACCACCGTCTCCAAACCTATGTGTTTAGATTCTTGATGATACTTGTCTATGAGGAGCTCTGTGAATTTGTGCTTTGGATCTAACAGAATAGTGTTTCGCGATTCAAATGATATTTCCAATTCTTTCGTATTTGGAATCCTACCGCCCAGGCGTAATATAAAATATTCGTCCAAGAAGGCAGATGATTTATATGAGCGACTAGACTTTGGTAGAAATAGCTTTCTTTTCAGAATGGAAATTTCTTATCCAAACGTTTCTTCCTGACACTTTCTGATCTATAACTTCATGAGTAGCATATCATCAACATAAGTATATGAATACATGAATAGAGATAAGTGACTGGCGATGATACAAAACAAAGCAAACTATTATTGGTCATGAATCACTCAAAGATGAAAAAAATAGAAGAAGATAGAATAGCGGAATGGTGAAACGTTTATCATGTTATTGATTTAGAAAAAGATATAATTTCAATTTGATTTTAAACTGAGAGGGTGGCAGTTTTTTTTAAGTTTAGGAATAGCATTGAATACTTCAGCTGTCTGGCAACTGAAGGAGCCTTTGAATAACTGGGTTGTGAAAATGGGAGGTGTTAAAGAGCCTTCGAACCTGATGTTGATATTATGAACATCGGTTCGAAACGTCACTTTCCTATGCACGTAAGAACGGATGTTATATAAGAGAATCTTGTGATAGAAGCAGGCAGCATGTAGTTTCCTCCTATTCTCCATATTTAATCATTATACTTCCTTAAGTTTGTGAGGTATTCTGTTTCTTCTTCTTATTCCATATACAGGGTGATTCAAAAGTATTTTGACAAACTTCAGGAGGTGATTCCCCACAATATTCTAATATAAATTGTCCAAATAAATAAATGTCCGGAAACGCTTCATTTCCAAGATAAAGGATGTTGAAGTTTTATTTTTATTTTCGTTATTTTCAAATAACTTTTGAAATACTGAACTCAACTGAACGAAACTTGTTAATAGGAGGTTTTTGAGGTGTCGAATTCGAACCTGATGTTATTATTGTTCTTAGTCGTAGATGGCGTCACCTACACGTCTTTTTTTTTAAAGATTCATAACTTTTTTGGGCGTACTTCTAGCACATTTTTCAGTAATCGATTCCTCTATCATATCTACGTAAATAAGCTACCCTTGTTACTAGTCGCTGTAAGCAACCGTTTTCTAAATATTTGGACTTGAAAACTTCAAGTCGATTATTTGATAATCGATGCGTGTTGAAGTTATTACGAATATTTTACATTTTTCACAAGAATGCCTTGGAAATAAATTTGACAAGGCATGTACATGACGAAGGATAAGGCTATGGTCCATTTTGCACCTAACCACCTGAAAATAAAAGGGCAATTATGGGGTGAGGAATGAGGTTAGATTTGAAATGTTGATTCTAGTGGCATCGCAGAGGGTATAGTCGAGGTATGCATACTTGATGTATCGGCGTTTTCAGAGGCTAAAAAACCAATACAGAGGAATAAAGCCGCTGCCAACTAGTCCATGAGGAATAGAGAATCGGTGGTTCGTATTGGATGATTTTTACTAACCGAGTGTTATGATTGGCTGAAGAGTCATAAAATTACATTTGAAGTCATCTTACGGTGACGAATAGAATGCGAGCCAACGTATTGTCAATTTTCCAGTTCACGAATTGATATTGGTGCAGTTATAATTACTTAAAGTTTTTGTTATCTGTTTGAAATGTGGCGTCCCTGGACAAGTACTAATAGTAATATCGAGTGTGATAACAATGCAGACTATGATGATATTCCAATAGCGATGGTGAACAATGCGAAAAAGAGATACCATTGAATAAGATTCGAATGCATTTGAATATTGAAACACAAAGAGTATGTTTCAATGTATATAAGAATCTACATCTCAAGTTTGGTTCCGAGGGAAACAAACTATTACAAGCAACATCAGATTTGACCAAAATTCCTTCCTCAACTGTTCGTAAAATAGTCAAAAACAAACCTTATGAACGCAGGACGCGATGTGATACGGGATTACCAAAACCGTCAGATGTTCATATAATGAAATCATTGAAAAAAACAAAATACGACTGTTACAAAAGCAATGAGATTCCTACAAATGAAATCATAAGGAAGAAACTGAATATTTCCGGCCATAAAGTGAGCTGCTGTGACAAAACTCTTCAGAATTGGATAAAAAAACTGGGATTCAAATTTGAAATGATAAACAAACGTCAAGCAGTTATGGAAAGCAGAAGAATAGTGGAATTGCGTAACAAATACTTCTATTTGGACGGGACTTGGTATGACACTCACGACATAGTTACGAAAGGGTGGACTGATGGTTCGAAAATGTGTACGCCTAACATGCCTGCAAACAAAGGATCGCCACTAATCATTGTACATTGCGGAGGAAGTAAAAGATGGGTTCTGAGAAATGGTTTGGAAACACATTGATCCTAAATTTGGATGCGAACAGTGTAATAGTTCTTGACAACGCTTTCTATCATTCGTGACAGCTCATCAAAGTACCGAATAAAAATTCGAGGAAAGATGGAACACAAAGTTTTTTAATGGATATCAATTTGTACTTTGAATATTACTATACCAAAAACTTGAAGTTTTACAGACAAACACATTTGAAAAAGTGTATGCCCTTGTATGGACACAACATACTGACACTTCCCCCCTATTTTTGTGTTTTCAATCCCATCGAGTTGATTTGGGGAAATCATCAGGCGTGAAAATAATTTTCCAAAATCTGAAAAGAAGATAATAGAGCTAATTAAAGAAGAAGTATTTGATATTACCGAAGAAGACTGGCAGAAAAGGATAAAAAAAATTAAATTTTTGTTGAAAAAGACTATTTGGAGATTGGACTCTTCCATATTAATGGTGGAAATGATTTCATCATTGATTTTGATGACGTCAGTGATAGTGAAACAGAGAATAAGGAAGAGGAATTATCAGAAGCTTTCGAAGAGAGTTAGTGAAGTGTTTTTGAAGCGATCGATTGTTTATATATGTGAGTGAGTGGTATTCAGTAGTATTTTCAACTATTACCCTGTTATTTGAATCCCTAGTTTTCCACTCGCCTGT